TGTTTTCACTACCGGTACCGTACCTCATAAACACCGATTTATTTTCTAGGTTATGTTAACCTATTGCTCCTATAACAGCCCGGTATTATGACAGTTTACTGCCACTGCCGCCTGAATTTTACTCTAACCTCTCGTTTATAAAACCAGCGTTAGTTTTGACGCGTTTTCGTTGGTGAAATCAGATTTCCTTAACTGTGGTTTAAAACATCAGTTAGTTGTGTAACCAAAGATTAACGAAACCGTCGTTACCGTGAATTTGGTGAAATCGGGCCTAAGTTATATACACACGTAGTCCCAATCATATTATACCGTCAGACTTTTAAGTTGTAGTTCTAAGTTAGTTCTCCAGCTTCGTCTGACAGGACTTCTAGCGTGCTGGAGAACTAGCAAACTAAGTTAAAGCTACTGGATCTCGTGTGTCTGCGGCTTAATGGCTAGGGAGATTAAGGGGCTGCGGAGGGGGTATTGAACACTTTTTTCCTCTGACAATTTTGGAGTAAACGCCTATTTCACCCTAAAAGTTGTATTTGAAATCGCAAAAAGAGCTAAAAATCTACAATGGTTTTTGGTCAAACCTTTTTTCCTGTTTTTTTAAGCTAGGGTAAACTAAAACTGGTTTTTCCCAAAAAATTACAGTATTTATATTGAAATGTGTTAAACATACGACTTACAGTTAAGTTACACTGGCCTAACCTAAGATGAACCAACCTATCCTAACCAAATCTTACCTAGCCATACCTAACCCAACCAAAACTAGGCTTAGGCTTAGGTTAGGATTTTATTTCTCTTCAGTTTTATAGTTAAAGTAATTTGAATACTTAGGTTAGGTTAGTCAAAGTGGTTACTGAAAAGCCTACTTAGTCCTACAATCAAGTAGGCTTAAAACATTTTTAGGTTCTTTGGTATGATACAGAGGCTACCCTTAAACAGCGCGCTGCGGCGGCTGTGTTAGGTTGGGTTATCATAAATAGAAAGTATGACTCACCTGGTATGGTTCGATTTCTGACGAAATGAGGAAAGTCCTACAAACATGACAACCCAGCCTGATTTAACCGCAGCAGGCCTTTTTGGTTATTTTGCATCATAATTATATGAAAATATAATTTTTACATGATGTCTGAGATGTATATATAAACTTAGGCCTACCTTTTTTGTAATTTAAGTTAAGCCTAAATATTTAAGTTGCATGACACTTGTTTTGTTTATGCTGAAAACCCAAAAATAGATTATTTTGGGTGTTACTCACAAATTTTAGATGTAAAAGCCCCAAGCTAAATGTAGGCCTAATGACTCAGTCCCCTGATACATTTGTATTAAATGTTAAATCTATATAAATACTAAAATGTTATATTATTATTTTATGTTATATGTTATATATTAGTATGATTATGTTAATTTTTATATTAAATGTATTTTAAATTACTATTGGATTGGATTGCATTAATTTGTGTAAGCCTAGTACATAACCCATTATAAATACCCCCGCCGCAGCAAACCTGAAGACCAGGGCCGTATTTCCCTGACGGTGGACACAGCGGTTGCCGGGGGCCTCGGCCTAGAAGGGAACTTTGGGCCTCAAATCTTTTTTCTTGATAAATTTATTCCACCAATAATCTTTTTTGCGGGAGACGATGAAATCAGCGCCACTACAAACGATCTTCACTATTTTGCCGTTAACGTAGGAGTTGTCACTATTAAGCCGCCATCGCGAAAGATGTCCAGGATTTTTTTGCGACCCTGGGGGAGTCAAAGATTATGTCCCCAAAAACTCGGAAGATCTTCACAATTTCATCATGATCGAAAGAGACTAGGATGGCATCCATGCACTCGCGTAAGACACTATTTCTCCGTTGCCACAGACCACTTGCATGATTTCTCCGCGATCGGAGGAGACGAAGATGACGTTTCCGCAATCGTTCAAAAGGTTTACTATTTCTCCATGGGCAAAGGAGTTGTTCATGATTTTGTCGCGATCGGTGGAGAGGAAGATGATGTTTCCGCAATCGCACAAGATGATACCTCTTCCTCCGCCGCCACAGAACACTTTCATGATTCCGCCGCGATATGAGGATACAAAGATGAAGTCTTCGCCCTCAGGCAAGACGCAAACAATTTCCTTGCGGCCATAGGAGGTGTCTGGTCCCAACCTAAGACCCCTAAGTAATATATACAGGGTGGTAATAAAGTGCGAAGACAGTTAAATATTTTCTAAACGACAACAGATAAATCAATAAGATGTGGTACATCATCACCACACCTAAAAATCTACTTTTTTTAGGAAATAATGACAGTTGTTCAAAGATTCAAAATGGCAGATGGCTTTGACAATTGGCTTTGACAGAATGGCTTTGAACCGCCATTTTGCGCAGGATCAACCTTTTGAATTTGAAGTGCGGATTGCGGCATTGTATTTTACTAAAAAAAAGACCTTTCTTTCCATTTTAGATTTTCTCCTTGTGGGCCGACCCCCTGAAGAGTTATTGGATCACTGAATATGTGTTTAAATAAGGTATTATGCTCTGTAACTTTGTACCAAGTATTGTAGCACTATCTACATTATTTTTTTAAATATTTAACTGTCTTCGGACCTTATTACCACCCTGTATAAAAATAATAGACTTATTATTTTATTAGCTAGTCTCCTAGATCTTGTTGAAGATCAGATTGTAGAAAACAAAAGGCCAATTCATCGAGTTAAAGCAATACGACGAGTATTTCTTTTCTACCCTTAAGTTCCAACCTTCCGAAGAATCTGAATATAGATGTGCCTCACTGGTGCGAGCCGCTGGGGGCCTCTTCGATTCTCACATTTCCATCTTTGTATGTTTTGGCAAGTTTGTTATATGTAAAAGAAAACATTTCTCACTTTGAAAAGATATCTGATGTGCACAACTACTGTACTAGATCAAAAGATAATCTGTCTACACTAAGGCATAAGTATACAGCCACTCAAAATAGTTTTGAGTACCAAGGTGTTAAAATGTACAATTTCTTGCCTGCATCCATCAAAAACCTGTGTGTTTTAAAATTCAAACATGCTATAAAAACTACTCTAACCCAGGCTTGCCTGTATAAACATGAAGAGTACTTTGGTTTAGAGTTTTAGATATTTTAGTTGCCAGAGCCATCTTGATTGTTTTGTTTTTATTTTGACGATTGTCATGAACTTTGTACATAGTTTTAACGACAATAAATCATTTCATTTCATTTCATTTCATTAAATACGGACCTGCTGCAGACTAAGCAAATTTCCATTTACGTGCCTGGATTTCTACTAAAATATTGCCTGAAAATTGTCAGATTTATTTCCTACTAGCAGAGTACCCGTCCTTTAAAAGGGTTGGCATATAAATATAAAATGCTTATTGCAGTTATAAATTTCTTTGTGTTTTGCGCTTTGCGTTTGAAATGGGAGAGGACACGGTTTAAGAAAATTTGGTTCTTTTAATTTACGGTATGCTGTGGTATAGCACATCTACCATAGCCATATTGTTCTATCACTGAACCTAAACAATAATACCCCCGCCGCAGCAAATCTGCTGACCAAGCAAATTTCCATTTTGTCTCAATTGGTTTTCAATCAAATCTATTTAAATAACATTAGGTTTAACGAGTACCTAGGTTTCCTACTTTAAGGTGTGAGGTGTTTGGTTCGGGATAGTGTTACCTAGCCTAAACTTACCTCCGATTTGCTCGGACAACTCGAGATGTCCTGGGTGCGCTTGCCTATTACTTAATATTATTACTAAAATACGTGGCCTAGGTTTCCTACTTTAAGGTGTGAGGTGTTTGGTTCGGGATAGTGTTACCTAGCCCAAACTTACCTCCGATTTGCTCGGACAACTCGAGATGTCCTGGGTGCGCTTGCCTATTACTTGATATTATTACTAAAATACGTGGCCAGCTTCTAGGCCTAACAAAGGGAATCGCTTCTCAAATAAAGCCTAAAAATAATACTCTTGTAGTTAACAGAAATGTTGTAACTTGCAATAATAATATTAACAAAATAAAATGAGTCTGAACTTATTTGCTAATTCAACTCTTGGTTTCGAGATAATTAAATAAAATACTTTCGATTAAATAAAACGATGTAGGATACTGCGACGCTGCACTCGCAGTGCCGGCCAGGGAAATATAATCCACCAGTACACAGGTCGCTTATTGCACCGGGATCTCCTGCAAGGCATTGACTCATCGCAGGCCGAGACTATCAGCCCCATCAAAGATGTAACTGATGTCTCTGCGTGAGCCACGCCCGATGTACGCAGGTACCACCGGCTCTCCCTGTAATATGACATCAGTGAATTTGGCCACGTCCAGCTTTTTGGTTTTCCACCGAACGGGCACCTGCCAAGACACCCTAGCTTGTCTCTGATGATTTTCCAGGACATCGAAAATGATGTATTGGTGGTCACTGGCTGTATAATCCTCCAGGACTCTCCAGGCTCTTATTCTTGGCAAGAGGGACTCAGATGCAAGAGTGATGTCTGCGATCGTTCCCCTTCCGGGACAAAGAGTTCAACTGGTGGAGTCAGGACAAAGAATAAACTGAGGCCAGGGGATTGGTTTTTAATATAAGTCAATACTGGTATACTCTCTGAAAATATCACAATTATGGCAAAATATGTTTCAGTGACATCTTAACAAGGTGAAATGGATGCAAATTTCCTATTGCTAAGTGTTATATTACAGGTTAGATTAGACAAACTAATTAAATAAATGAGTTTCCTTAACTCCTGAAAAATAGTGTAGGTTGTTAAAACACTTGGAAATGTCCATTAAATTTGCTTTTAAAATAAATATATTAATTTATCCTTCACAATCATGAACTTTAAAAACATACTAGGCATACATAACAAAAGGCAGACTTAACACAATTAACTTTACAAAAAAGTTAACTTAATTATAGAAAGTTTCTTGGAACTGGTTGTTTGTAAGCCACAATACACCTGGAGTTTCTTGGAGTTGTGTTGATTATTGACCATTTTTGTATTTTCCAGGTTTCAAGCAGTTTTACTCCAAAAATGCTAATTGGTTTAAGACATCAAGTGAGACGTAAGGAAACAAGCCTTTTTAGCAATAAAAAATGCAACAAATTTCAGAAACCGGTTCTGAAATTGAAATTTTATTTGACAAATGTTCTGAGGCCCGCAAAAGTCTTGGTAAAATCTTGGAAAATCTAGTTAAAATTGAAAAGAAAGAGGAACATATTGTAGTTCCCAAACACTTAAGTGATGTAAAGTGCATCGATCTCGATGATGATAGTGATGATGATGTGGAGTGCTTGGGTTCATATCTACCATCAACCGAGATTCAGGAGCAGCAAAATGCAAATAAAATCGGACAAAATGCAAATTCAAGTTTAGTGGAAAAAGAGAAAAGTAGGTCTCCGAAGAAAGATGATATAACCATGGTGGAATCTGTAGTTTGTTCACAAACTATTGTACGTACTGAACTTAGTGCCACTTTTACTCAAGTGCCACCATCAAATCAGCAATCAAGCAGTGAATTAGAAAACACTTGTCAGAATTCAAAGCCCATAGTTCTGTGTGACAAGAATATAGTAGATCAATCCCATCACAATAATCATTGTGGAACACCTACTGACACAAGTTGTGAATCAATTTGTCTAGAAAGTCAAATGAGTACCATGACAAACAATCAAGAAGATAATACATCGTCTGTTACATCTCAATTGGAAAGGAAAGAAAGTAATATACATAGTCGTGAGTCAAATTCAGACTCAGAAGTATTAAATAGGCTTACTGGTCCTGAGGCTGATAGTTCAACCAACATTATTAACATTAGGCCTACAGTCCAAACAGAAAAGTCCCCTGAGAAGAGGATGAAAAGATTCATTTCTATTCCTGCTAAATTTCTGTCAGGCAGAACATTAACACAGGTTACTAATAAAACCGCCACTGGAAGCAGAATATTGAAGTTTGTTAACCCTAGATTCATTTTAAAGCCTTCAAAAGTTGACACGCCTGTGCAATCCAATATAGAAAATTCAACTGTTGTAACGCCTGTGCAATCTAGTCTGGACAATTTAACATTTGAGACTCCTGTGCAAAAATATCCGATGAATCAATTTGCAAAAACCAATTCTGCAACACCAACAGTTATAAACCTGCCAAAAAACCCAAATATTATACCAAGCAAAAAAGCACCCACACATCCACCTTCCATGCTTTTTTGGAATGCTTCATTTGGCAAAAAACTAGTTAAGTTAAAGGGCACAAAAGGATCCCAGCTAAAGAACAATTTGTCAAAGACTACAAATAACACTTTAGACAAAGCGTGTAGAATAAGGCCTCAAGAATATTTTTCAAAAAACAAACCTTCAAAGTCTACAAATAACACAAACTTAACTGCAGAGAAAGTGTCTAAAACAAGTATTTATTCTTTGATTAACAAAAACGCAAACTTGTACCCATCTGAAAGTAAGTACCTATATAAATAATTTTGAATAACCATTTCGCTCCATGACAAAATTCTTAAAATTTTGTTTTGTTAGGGAACAACCAATAAAAACATAATCGTTAAAGCTTAGTAGTTTACCACATAATTGCATTATCTTTCTTCAGTATTTTCTTTACAGACCCTGTTCAACAATCTTAAAATCCAGGTTTCATTAGAAGATACAAATCTTTGACAACTCAATTTATTCTAAAAACATTAACAATAAACAATGTAATTTGTATGATGTTTAATTTTACAATTACCCTCAATCTGAACTAATTTTGCAGAATTTTGATCAATGAAAACTACTCTTTTACTTTAAATGTATTGAATGAATATAAATTATACAAAATCATACAAGTAAAACAATTTTTTTTTATAAAAAATTATATTTAAATCTAAAAATGAACAAATTTAAACTTTTAAGGGCCCTTTGAAAGTACACAAACTATGAAAATCAATTGAATCAGTTTTTGCCATAATATAATTATTTCACAAATTTTACTTTCTTTATTGTTGCTAACATTTTTTACCGAAATAAACTAATAGGACAAGATTGCTAGACAAATTTTAAACATATTGATTTTCAGTATACTAACTATAACAATTATTACCTATTTGCAGTTTTAAAACAGTATTTTCACCCTATTATTTTATCATGGCCCGTTTATAATAGCTAAAAATATATTACCGCTGTAGCCGTGTGCTTTAGTGTACCTATCCACTACCATTCGACCCGGTTTCAAGTCGGACGATAAGTCTTATATTAGTAGCATGAAACGATTTAAAGGAAAGTCAATGCTTCCGCCAAGTAGGCCTATAAATCTTGTTCTCTGAGAAGGGATCAATCCTATTCATATCATCAGTTGAAAACGTACAAATCCTGATATGAAAAAAGTCTTTAAAAGTACAAGTGTTCTGAGAAGTACAAGTAGGCCATAGACACTTCTACACAAGCCTTAACTTAACATGTTGATTGTCTTGAGTCTAAGACTACCATGGTTTACCATTATCATTGGTAGTCATAAACACGTCCCCTATATGTTCAGCAACCCCTTGTTCCCTCACATCGTGTTGTGCACACAATTTCCTTAACGTTGATCACTGCCTTAAACAAAAGACCTACTGATAATAAAATGCAAAACTTTGTTAATATCATGCAAATGCTTATTAAATCCTCCAAACCCTCCCTTTCTTACCACCATTTTTTACACTCAAATATTTTACCCTATTCATGTCTGTTGCAATGGACTTTAATAGCAGTTCATGCCTTAGACCACATAAACCTAAACACACAATACGACTCATACTTAGCGGAAGCGTTGATTTTCATTCTCTTATTTTTTGGCTACAATGACAAAACCAGTTATCCAACACACGTAAAAATTGTCTAGAATATGAGCAAGTTAATAAAGAACATGGTACTGAGTGTCAGATTTTAGCTACCTTGCTCAGTCACGATAAGAGTTCAATTGTAGACTAATTTCACAGATAACACTTTTACATGACTGATAATATTTTGTGAACTAAGTATTAAATCTTGTATATCTCTAAATAATCTGGCTTGTTATGTTTTTTAGGAGTCAGCAAAAAAATAGCCCTAGCACAAGTCTCTGATATCAGTGAAAAAGAAAAACTGGAAAAACAAATGTGTCCTCAAAGTAAAAAATGTCCAGTTGGCAGTGAATTTCCCGATGAAGAAAACTATGTGTTCAAGCCTAATGAACCTTCAATTTCTACTTTACCACATGCCTATGTGCCTAGTACTTGCAAGGATGTGGTAGCAAAGCCCACTAATAAAAATTTGTCATTCAAACATCAGCCCCAGAATGCGTTCCAAGAAGTGTTATATTCTGATTTAGGACTTCTCAGATCTGAGTCCGAAACAGAAACCAACCAAACCAACTCAATTGAAAATAATAAAGATGAAACCTATATGCAACCAGTTGAAACCAACACAACGCAAGTAAACCAATTAACGTTTCATCCCGAAAACAATGTAAGCGGTAACACTACGTATGACCATGAACAGGGAATTTATGTGTCTTGCAATCCAGACAACACACTTGATCTAGCTCCAGTCGAGCCAGCAATGGTACCTTGTCCGCCATCTTCTACATTTGACACTGAACACTTAGTTGGTGTATTCAATAAACTTGTGGAAGACATCAGAACTTGCCTCTGCATTGATGCGGTCGGAAATATGTAAGTAGTGTATGTCCTCTAATGGTAATTCCTACCTATTTAGTTAAGGCATAATCATAGATGAAAATCTGGCATGGGATGATCATATTTTAATAATCTTATTAGAACAATATCCAGCAGTATTTACATGTGAGAAAAATTGCTCCATCATATAATATTGAAACGTTAAAGCAGTTTATTGTGCATTGATTCATTCACATATTGCCTATGGCATGTGTCTATGGATCTAGCATTGAAAATCATAGACAGAGTTTTGCTTGGCAAAAAAATTCATGAGGATAATGTTGAATTTAAGATCAACAGCCTCAGTAAGGCATGTCTTTAGTATACTTAAAATATTCACAGTCTACAGTCTTTTTTTTATTAATTATAATTGAATTTGTTTAGATGAATGATAAAACTGCAATCAGTGGCAATTTTTATAAATATAACACAATATACAAGATCACACCGATTCGTAGAGCAGCACAATTTGGAATTTTGCAAGAAAAACTTAGTTATTTAGAAAACAAATTTTTACACCACCCTCCAGAAACTGTAAAATTAGAGGAGAATCTAAATAAGTTTTTAAAATCAATGTTTTTTGTTTTGGACTACCCTGTACAATCACTGGTTTTAGCAATTCGTATAAGAAAAACTTATGTTGACACTATTTCATGTACAGTACCAATCTGTACATTTTATGATATAAAGAAGATGATGATGATGAATAGATCCACTTATCATAGTATTCCCTGTTATCAAATCAAATAGCTCGTAGCCTGAAAAATATTAAGTTTCATAGTTGTTTAGTCCTAATTGATTAATTGGTGATATAAATAAAAATAATACCTCAAAATAAAAGTGCCAAGAAATTGTAGTATTGCATTGAATTTTGTTGAGCGTTTTTCATGAGCCTACTAAAGGCTATACTGTACAAAACCAAGTCTTAATAAAACAATTGTTTGGCCTGGTACAAAAGAGGGCTGGTAAAAAATAAATACAATTTTAAATGTTATGCTTTTGACGGTGGTTCGGGAATACTTTGTTATATAGCCTACTTGTATTAATCTATTTGAAAATTCACAATAACTACTTCATATCAAATTGCCTAGTAATTGAAATGTTGTATTAAGAACATTTTTTAGCATTTATCATTAGCCTACTCTTGGCAATACAGTACAAACTAAATCTTGAGTAAACGTTGTTTTGCCAAAGTTGGTAGATTCAATATAAATACAATTTTAAACTTAATACTTTAGATGTTGATTCTGGAATTAATATTTTGTGAATTATCTTTTTTATTGCCTATGCTTTTAAGGCACCTAGTAGCTACAAGTCCTACCTAAAGAAGTAGCTACTAGCTACTTAGCTACATAGCTACTAGTTTGTAATAAATGTACATTTTGCTAAGAGAGTTTTCTGATTCTACTTTCATTATAATTGACACTACTGTCTTTTTTTACAAACTATTTACCCATGTCCCTGTTGTTGTTCAAAGTTTATTGTGGACATTTTCCATCACGATGGTAAAAAAACAATACACAACGTTTCGGGATCTGGAATCTGATCCCGTCTTCAGGTGAAAAAAACTTAACTAACACATTACAACTAACAATACACAAAAGCCCGACTTAAGTTGGAATACACTACAGAAGGTAGCAGTCAAAAAATATACACTGTATTACAGTTTAGTCATAATACAACATGCAAATAATAACCAATCACAAAACACTATAGTCTAATAAAAGGTGTAGTGTGAACAACTCACACAATGGAACACTAATAGCACCGTTCGCAATGACTCCACCAATGAGACTGAATCAACATGGCCGACCAATCGGAAACACGGAGACAACAGAAAAGGCGTCTGGTCCCTGGAAAAATAAAACCAACAAAATGGCAGAGCGATGTACGATGCCGCAAAAAGGGTGTTAATTCTGTTTATTCCTATCACAAGTTTTACTACGAGTTAACATAACGTGCGAATTTTGAGGATAACTTGTTATTTCCCTATTTATTGAACAATTAAGTTCCCTATCCTTTAGTTCCTGGTTCAAAATGGGTAGCCACAGTGGCCTAATTTCAACCGAAGACTGACTGATTGGATGGTCTGCTAATTTAATGTATGAGGCTTCAATGAGCTTACGTTTGAAAAAATGAGGTTCCTTATGGACAATTTTTGCCTCTTCAAAATTCATAGGATGATTTTCGGACCATCAATGATGAGCGATCTATACACAATTTCCATTAGGTCTGAATTGAAACTCCCTAAGATAAAACAAAAACATCCAATAAAATTCACAGTACACATAATTATAACGTTGGTGACCTGACATCATTAAACAAATCGTCCACACATATCCTTTATGTCAATTTCACTGCATCAATTGCTAAATAAATAAGTGTATTAAACAAAGAAAAGTAAACACAACAACATGTAGTTTGTTTTGTAAACAGCTGAGTAAAAAATTAAATAATATTCATTTGAACAAAACAACTGGTCACATGTTGAAGGAATTTAAAAAGTAAACACGCTAGTAAAGCTAGTGACGTAATTAATTGTCTATGTTTATTATCAATTCCGTTGTCAGTGCTAATATACTTGATAATCAAACCACCCTCATTGAATCAATGTACATCGTAATTCCCCATATTCGTTTATTTAAACTATAAAATATTCAGCGCCTCCAAACGTAACCATAACTAAACACACGCCAAACAACTTTTTAGATTTCATAAAAGGATGGTTAGTCTAATTGCAGTATCCTAGGTCAATGTTGACATTGTGTTCAATCAATGTCAATCAATGCTCGAGCACGGACTTGCAGTCCATTCGGGGGAATACTATTCTTACCCTGATAATGTATTCCTGTATTTATATATGTGAATAAAGTGATTTTTGATTTGATTTTGATTTGAATCTATGTCATTCATCTTTATAATCTTTGGATAAACCTGAGGGTGTGGTGGTAATTTAAAATCGCATTCCTGAGGATTCTTGATCTCCATCTTTATGACATCAATATTTCTGGGCCTAATCCAAACAAAGTTCAAGCATTCAAAAACATTGATTGTAAACATTTACCTTTTTCCTATAATCAATGACAAAATCAGAGTAAATATCCTCATAGTTCTATAGGGCATTTTTATAATTAACCAGCTGTTAGTTAAAACAAATTATATTGCACTAAAACAAACCGAAGATTACAAAAATTACTTAAAAAAATAATTTGAACATTCTAGTATTTTACTATGTATATTTAAATAATCCGCCATCCTCTTATCGAAGGATTGAACGTATCAATGATTAGCATTACACATAGTATAAATAAGTCAACCCTTAGTATGTCTTTTAATTTGATCCAAATGCTGAATTTGTGTTACAAACGCTGAATGTTTACAGCTGTTATGTTAAGCAAATGATATTATACCAAAAGCTAGTTTACAATCTTAGCGTCGGCTGCTAGACTTTTCAAAAATAAAAGTTAATTTCTAAATAACTTGGACCCTAAACTAAAATTATGGCTTCGACATTCCCTAGTTCTCAAAATTATCTTTCTTTCAACACAAAAAACATGAAAATCCGTCGAGTGGTTGATTCAGAATCGTGAAATAAAAAAACCCTGTTACTTTTTAATATTATAGATAGTCAGTGCTAGTTTTTCAGCGGAATGCGGCAGAATGGTGTTCCGGTACCTCTCTTTCGGAAAGATAAAAATATTGTCATACATTGGTAGGCCCTACATAAATAGGTACTAATCACATGAAATAGGTTACAGTTCCGGCACCTTATTTTTTACAAACTGAGCACTGGATATAGTTATGGTAGTTTATATGATTTAAAATTAGTTTAACTAAAATGAACAATATTTTGCAGGCCAATCCACCAAGCAGTTCTGGATAGTGACATAGTTAAACTGAAAACTCAGTGTATTGTATTGAGGACTATTGGATCTCATATAAACCACATAAACTTGAGGCACGAGGTAAGTTCCTTAATTGCATATCAGTAAAAAAATATATATAACTGCAGATAATGTACTTTACTAAGAACCATTCAGTTTTGTTTATTATTTTTACATTACATTTCATAGCCTAAGAGAGCTGAACCAACAGAAGTAGACTTCTCATCAGTGGCTACCGATGAGGTGGGGCGAGGGGGGGGGTGGCGTTTATGAAATTTGGTATAAACATGTATACCTACATTTATTTGGATGAGTTTGTGAACCAGCATGATCGGACCATTGGAACGGGGGTGAGAAGTCTTTCATGGGGTAAAAATTGGTTTTTCTCATTTTTTACTCTTAAAACATAAAATTTTGCAATTTCTTTCCAAACCATTAGAGCTTAAAAAACAAATAATTGAAGCGTTATTATGCGCCTAATGTTTACGGAGAAAATTCCCCAAAAAATTTAAATTTAAAATTCAATTCCCATGTCATTCTTATGGAAAATAATCTAACCTGTTAATAAACTGTTGTTGTTTGCTTGTTTATGAGCATATTTCGATCACATTCGGAAAATGCATTTATTTCATACTAAAATATTAACATGTTTACCATGATAATAAGAGGAGAATAACACAAGAAAACTGTTGTAGTTTGCTTGTTTATGTATTATACTAGTAGAGTACCTGTCCTTCGTACGGGGTTGGCGTATAAGTATATAATGTTTATTGCAGTTATAAGCTTGGCTTTGCGTTTGCAATGGGAGAGGACACAGTTTAAGAAAATTTGGTCTTTTAATTTACAGTATGCTATAATATAGCACATCTGCCATAGCCATAATGTTCTACCACTGCACCTAAACCATAAAAAAAGTAAATGTCTCATTGTATATCACAGCTTTTTGTTGCTAGTTGGTTCAAATTAGCTGTTGTCATCTTACTATCTTACTTCTTAATAATATTATAAATGTGAAAGTTTGTGTGTTTGTTTGTTTGTTTGAAGTTCAATCACGCAATAACTACTGGACCGATTGGGCTGAAATTTGGCATGATGATAGCTAACATTCTCGATTAGCATATAGGCCTATTCTTATCTCAAAATTCCTTTTGGGCACCCACCCAGTGGCTCTGTAATTCCCCATGTTAACCTTATGAGCATTCATATTTAAAGGGAATTAAAGAATTTAGTCAGCTGTTTCAACTTTACAAGTTGGTTTTATAATATGCAATAGCATATAAGTTTTCCCAACAGGGTGCAGCACTATTATTATAATTTGTTTTTGCATATATGCATTGACTCAATTATATATGACAACAGCTAATTGGAACTAAGCAGCAACCAAAAGCTGTGATACACAATGAGAACTGTCAAGTCGGATCGTTTACAGTTAGTTTTATGTTTTTTTTATTTAACGAATAATTTGTGATATGTTTGTTGTTTCCCATGTAGCACAGATGGTTGGGCCAACGTTGGTAAATTGTGGAGCCACACAGTTGGCCAACGGTAGAAATGTCACCTCTTTAAACTGTTTTCCAGCCAACCATTGTCCAACCGTTTTATTTCACACTAAATAATAAAGATTTAGTACGAAAAGCATAATTATTAGTTAAGTAAATTGATTAAATAGTTCATAAAAACAAATTTTGAAAAAAAAAACTAGAACAAAATTTTTTGGCCCAGACGGGTCTCGAACCCGGGTCCTTCGACTTATGAGCCTCTTACCTTACCACTGAGCTATCTGTGATTGTTGATATAGAGAGTTTTCAAGTGGTGAAAGAGTAGCCGACAGTTGCAATGGTCGCAATACTTCAAACATTTTTGATACTACACAGTATAATATGATTCTGTTAATCTGTTAAGGCATCATTAAGTAGTTATTTTTTTTGGAGTTAGAGAGGATACTGGTATTTGAAAATAGATTAATTAATTACCGTTAGATTATTAATGCTATTATAATTGCCTGTTATATGATTAATTACTCTTTCCCCTTAAATTGTTGCAAATAAGTTAAAGAATATTAATTTAAAAAATATTTGCATTATTATAATTATTAAAATTCATTGTTGTAGCCCCGGAACTGTAATATGTAAAATATCTGGTTTTACAATACCTTTATCAGTTCCAAAAACTTTTGCAAACTTTTGGAACTGATAAAGGTATTGTAAAACCAGATATTTTATTATAATTATGTTGTGAAAGCTAGACCCAGAGAATGAAAGTCGTGTAAACTCAACTATGGACCATCGTTAGTCCAACAAAAGTATCTTTTGTTGGTCCAACGGAGTGAAAAACTGTTGGACAACGGTTGGCTTGATGTATGATACCCAGCAATGCATATTAATGTATTTCATTAACAATGAACCAATGTTGGTCCACAATTGTAAATATTGGTTGGCCCAACTACGAGATATACAGTTGGACAACGGTTGGTTGGTTGTGGAAGCTCCAACCAACCATCGACCAACTGTCCCACAGTTGGCCAACGTTGGCCCAACCATCTGTGCTACATGGGTTGTGATATGTTTGTGAATGTTTGATAATCTATTTTTTTCTATTGTTTAGGTACAGTGGTAGAACATTATGGCTTGTAATGGGAATAACATATTAGTAAACATTATCAAAATGTCGAATATTGCCACAATGCAAAATAAATTATATTTGCCTCGGATAAACCCACAAAGAAGGTTCGACCCTTATAGTAACACTAAAATTTGCCTGGTGGCAAGGAAATATCTCAGGAGGTGAAAATGTTAACCACACCTAGTAAATAATCGATATTTATTACATTATCATTACAACTGCGGCATACATTAAAAGGTGTTTTTTTAAACGATATTCAATCACAATGATTTACAGTTTGTCGGAACGTGCTCCTTTCTCACGCCAAATCTACACATACGCACTACACACCTCATAGGCGAATCGTAGCACTTTAGCACACATACTGCGATATCTCAAGTAACAGATACGTAATGAATCGGTACATTTACAGAATGGACGATAAACTGGATTTCGTGGGTAATGAGACAGATGCCCCTCCCAATATCCTATAAAATCATTTTTTAGAAATTATGTCGCATGAGACAAGTGCCCCTTACGACTTAATACGTGAATTAATCTGAAGGCGGGTATAATTAACATGGATATATTACCGACGTGCGAGACATGTGCCTCACACGGATTAACACGTAAAAACACCCAAAAAGCCACCACACTTCCAAATACAAAATACAGAGTACAATTATCTCAAAAAATGCTCAAACGTACGGTGATATCGCCATGCGAGATACGTACCCCACACAGAATATTACGTGTAACGTAACATTTTATCTACACTCTTCGTAGGACTTTAAAATACAAATATAAGATCACAATTCAAAATGGGACTTTAAATTGGAGAATAAACGATAAAATAACACTCTGTGTAAATGTATCGCCATGCGAGATATGTACCCCACACGGAATACTACACACACAACGTAATATATTATCTACACACTTAGTAAGACTTTAAAATATAAGGGATAAAATTCTTAGGGGGCTCTAAATTGGAGAATAAAGGATAAAATAACACTCTCCGAAAAAGAACATACTTTATCCTCCCTTAACCTACAGAACAACAAAATGGTACACTCTGAAATAATATTCTACTAACTTTTCACTTTTTATAAAAAAATCTCAACCAAAATGATTTATTATTTGAAATTTAGAGGGCCTTTTATAATCGAACCGACGAGACATATGCCTCCGCTAGATTATATCCAATCCTGTACAATTTTGAAATGGATTTAGAGTCTCGAGGTGAGAGACATTTGCCTCTAACGGAGAGTAAGAACGTTAAATACTTTATGATCTCAATACTGGAAAATTTAATTCGAGACAAACTTTGAAAACTTGAGATTGAAATCTGAGATTGTTAAAGAATCAACAACTTTTGACTTTTGGAGGGACACTTACCCATTTGGAAATATGCCCCGCTCGGTAACCAGCGACACAACACTTACTTACACAACATACAAATATTAATCACTCGACAGCTTGACGGTACGGCACTGAATGTCCTCTGGTCACCTCCTAGAGCTCCTTCCCCTCTCAAGGTTGTGGTGGGGGGGTAGCTATATAATGGTGGCGCATGGTAATACTTAGGCCCGGGACCGATATACTTTTACATTTTGATGTCCCCAGAGGCCAAAAACACCATTCGTTCAAATTTTTATATGTGTGTGTATATATATATATATCTATATATATAAAAGGCAAAGCCCTCACTGACTCACTCACTCACTCACTCATCACTAATTCTCCCACTTCCCATTTACCTAGAAGGCTGAAATTCGGTACACCGATTCTTTGGGCATTAAATAGGAAAACTAATTAGTTTTTATTCTGATCGGGCTTTCGGGCTCCGCCCCAGTGGCTCTGGAGTTTCCCATGTTAACCTTATGAGTACTCATGTATTTAAATGGAATTAAAGAATCTTAACAGTTGTTTCAATTAAACAAGTTGGTTCTGTTCTATGATGTTCAATAGCATTTAAGTTACAAGGATTACCAACAGGGTGCAGCACTATTATTTTTTTAAATTTATGACACAGCTAATTTGCAACCAAAAGGCAAGTGAGCGTAGCGAAAGAACTTAAACCTGGAGGCGAGTTAGCATAGCGAACGAGTTAACCTGAAGGCAAGTGAGCGCAGCGAACGAGCTCCAACCTAAAGGTGAGTGAGCGTAGCGAACGAACTTCAACCAGGACGTGATCAAGCCATGCGAACGAGCTCATCTTGAAAATTAAGAAGTTAAACGGGGCAAAGCCCGCGGGTACAGCTAGTATATATATATATGTGTGTCCGTGAACACGATAAATTCAGTAATTTTTATCCAATTTTGATTAAATTTAGTTTGAAGGTGTAAGGCAGGATAAACTTGAATGAGTTTGGGAAACTGCATGATCGGAACATGGGAACAGGGTTTTATGGGGTAAAAAATTGGTTTTTCTTATTTTTGACCCTCAAAACATAAAATTTCCCAATTTCTCTCTATACCTTCTTAAAGAGCTTTAAAAAACAAATAATTCAGTATGTCGAAGTGTTTTTTACGGTTATTGGTTACGGAGAAAACTCAAAAAATTTTAAATTTAAAATTCCCATGTTATTCTTATGGAAAATATTATAAGATGTTGTAGTTGGCTTGTTTATGGATATCTTTTAACAAAACTTGGCAAATTTATTGTTTTGATACTAAGCTATAATTATTTTACTTAAAAACACACTTTATTAGTTTCCTTGTAGCAGCAAACCTAGGTACTCGTTAAACCTAATGTTATTTAAATAGATTGAAAATCATTTCAGGCAAATGGAAATTGGCTTGGACAGCAGGATTGCTGCGTCAGGGGGATTTAAAAAAAACCTGGTTTTGATTGAAATTAGTATGTGATAATCCTTATAATTCTGAACAACATTGTGCAACCTACCATTGCTTTTAAAATTGTGGTCTAAAAGTTATTTTAACTGTTATTTTCCCCATAAAAACCCATGAAAAAACGGGAAAAAGGATTTTTTGAAAAATTACATTTTGATTTAAATTTGTCTGATATTATCCTTATAATTCTAATCAAAATAGTGCCATTCCTGTAAAAATTACGGTTCAAAAGCTAGTGAAACTTTTGTGATTTTACCAATTAAATACCATAGTTAGATTCTCTCATCGCTTAGCCATGATAATGGTTGTTGACAAACTAATGGGAGAAAGTATGTGTCAGATTGGTATACCGTTTATTTATATCTCTTATAACTAAAAAAAAAAACTGCTGGCACACTTATATATCGATCATCCTGTATGTACACTAGAACCTCTTTAATCCGAACCCCTGTAATCTGAACGTCCACTAATCCGAACGCCTCATTGCTGTACTCTATACACAGTACAGTGGATCTTTATTGTATACTGTGTTTATTGATATACACACTGTAGTTGTTTCAATTGTAATGTACAGTACTTTTTATTCCCTATGTTTACTACTGTATTAAATAAACACTGTATTTCATTTTATAAAGCATTTTTCACTTTTCCCCAGCTAATGTTACGTAAAAACAACAATATGCTCTGTAATCCAAACTATTCAATAGTCCGAACTATTCCCGGTCCCAATTAGTTCGGATTAAAGATGTTCTACTGTATGTAAAAAAGGCACCCTCATCTAAGCCGTCCCGAGCCCCCAACTATGACAGTACACCACTGCTTCATCTCATCCCATTGTAAATAATGAAGCTCGTTTTTTGTGTCTAGTTCATGTATGGTGACACAGGCCGCTAACGCTAGTGTCAACAAAATTTTTTTGCTATTATTTCATGGTTAATTTCTTAGTTTGTGCTTTACTGTTTGGTTATATAACTAGGGAACGAGTTATTGGTTATGATTTTAGATCCTATTATTTGGTTAAACAAGGTTTTAAATGACTGAAATAACAAGAAACAAATTGTAAACAAAACACAACCTTTGCAGTATACCGTGCAGAACTAACAATAATATTGTCTTGGAACGAGTTAATGTTTATGATTATAGGTCCTATTATTCGGTTAAACAAGGTTTTAAATGCCTGAAATAACAAGAAACAAATTGTAAACAAAACACAACCTTTGCAATATACCGTACAGAACTAACAATTATATTGTCTTCAGCCGTTCCATAAGGATGACAAATCTACTAAGGGAGTATGTTTTATGTGGCATCGTTTGTGAGATGTTTTTTGTATTGAGAGTGATCATTATCTGTTTCACAGACAGCATTGATGTTAGCGGTTAGTGCAGCAGTGAATACCAACGACTACGAAGCAGCTTCTGTCCTGTTGAATGAAGGAGCTGATCAGAGGATCGCAGACATGGACGGCAACACCCCTCTCCATCTAGCCGTGAGCCACGGCTGTGATCAGCTGGTCAAGTTGTTACTGACGGGTTCCGACGCTGACCAAGTCACTCAGAAGTTCAACTATGCTGGTGAGTAGCCTACGATCATGACATTCCATCCCCATGCTCAAGTTTTTGCCTGTTTTAGAATGAAATTTGACCCAGTTGAAAAACGTAACACGTGAGTTCGGTGCAGTGGCGGCGATAGCGGGCCCGCAGGGCCCGCGGTGCAGGGGGGCCCGCGAGCTAGGGGGGCCCGTGAGCCTTGACCGGGATTTTCGGTAAATTTTACCGGCACACGGGCCCGCGATAGTGTGACAGGCTCAGCCACACGGGTCCCCTATCATAACAATATTTATATGAGAATTAAAATAGGCTATGCTTTTTTATGATGAAAATTTGTTCAAACCTATAGTTTACAACAACTAAACTAACACTATTACTTGACCGATCGATATAAATTATCTACCAACCTAAGTAAAAGAATTGTCATCAGTCATGCGGGTTGCATTAACTGTCCTCGTGGATTGTGTGAAGGCGCAGTCAAAATTGGTTGCATAATAATAGGGCCGTATTATAACTAATGTGGCCTCTGTCATCGTCACCCGCGGGGTAATGTTCTCGCCGATATCCGCGATCGCGGCAAAAGTGTAGGCCTAATCTTTCAATTTTGTGAGCGTGATCCTCACGGATATAAAAGCTTTTACTTTTAATTGTGCATTATTGTATTGAATACTGAGAAAATCGTCTCGAGCTTGATTTTCTGACTTTGTGCTTGATCTCTCAAACTAGCAACCCGATCTTGAACGCACTAAAAATGTTACTGAGGGCCTCAGTCGAAATCAGATCGGTTCAAAATCGGGTTTTTTTTAAACGGTTGATTTTTATAATAGGCCTATAATGTCAATTTACGAGCCGAGCAGAGCCTGGACTACAAGCTTGAGAGATCAAGCACAAAGTCAGAAAATCAAGCTCGAGCCGATTTTCTCAGTATTCAATACAATAATGCACAATTAAAGGTAAAAGCTTTTATATCCGTGAGGATCACGCTCACAAAATTGAAAGATTAGGATACGCTTTTGCCGCGATCGCAGATATCGACAAGAACATTTCCCCGTGGGTGACGATGACTATATGTCTCCGCGGCCGCAGATGTTCAATATTTTACCGCCATTGCGGAAGACGATAATGAAGTTTCTTTTTTAGCGAGATATATATCTTGGATTTAGCCGCGATTACGGAAAAATGATTTACCCGTCACCACCAACGGGTCGCGGGGAGTTATTAGGCCGTAAACGCGGGAGACGATGATGCTGCTATTTAATGATGTCATAGGTTTGGTTGCATTTGCAATCACGGTAAACTATGATAATGTTTCTTCCATGACTTATGACCACGGGAAGTATTTACGATTTTGCCGCAATCATGGAAGACGATAATGACGCCTGGGGAGATGCCATGTCAAGTCTATTGCAAAATTGCAAGTTTAGGCGGTAATACATGGGAAAATGTTTTTAAAGATCATTGGGAGAGGGGGGCCCGGCGAACAAACTTGCGGGGGGGCCCGCGAGTTCTTATCGCCGCCACTGGTTCGGTGGGCGCCACCGACAGAGAGCACTGATCTAAACTAAGAATTTATCTTGAACACACAAATTAAATATAAAATGCATAATGAAGGGTATTAACTTATTAACTATAGTAAACTTATAACACATTTTTTATTATTTCAGTAGGCTTAATGAAAATTAAAGGTGAAAATTAAACTTTCGTTTTAGCATATACTATCAGATAATCCTGTTTAGTTAACAGTTTGATTTCAGAGTCTAGGTTAGAGACAACTTGGGATAGCTTAGCATTAGGTTTAACAAATCCTGAAATATTAAACTTTTGTGAACAGTTTTCAAGCAAAATAGAACTAAGATGTCGACCATGACTGTCGGATAGGATTACCAGTTTGGCTTTGTTTTTGTTTTTGAGGCCACAGCTGGATTTACATGTAGTAGGTTTTTTTATATTAATTGGCAAGAAAGAATTGGTGGGACAAGTGGTGAGGGTTTGAGATATTTTAGGATAGGTACAATTTTTCGTGGTAGATGCCTCTACTGAATTTTGTTTCGTAACTGGATTAGGTTTGGTAGCTGGGTTTAGTTTGGTAGCAGGGTTTCGTTTGGTAACCGGGTTTGGTTTGGTAGCTGGGTTTAATTTGGTAGTTGGGTTTGTTGCAGGTGTTTTGGTCTTTACTGATTTCTGTAGCTTGGGTTTGGGATTTGAAGATAACAGTGTCGGTTCACTAGAACTACTATCATTGCGCTCATGGTCATTTACACTTAACACTGCAAACTTATTACTACATGGTATGGAACAATTATTGCTATTGCTGATCACACACTGCGATCTCAGTTCAGGAAAATAATTGTAAATATAATGTGTCCTGTGTTCGATATAAATTTGAAGTGTGTTAAACGAATCGTTCAACTAGGATCGACCTGATGATGTGATCGTTGTTATAAAATAGGTCTTCATCTGACAAAATCAAAGGGTATCTTCAATATCCAGTAGTAGGAAAATGGACACAATTCAATGGCAGAAACAACCAGAGTCAAAGCCTATACACCAATAACTTATGCAGTTGCTACCTGTTCTAACTAGTTCCTACTTTCATACTTTGAATGTTCATTACTGTGCAACATTGATCACAAATTCTGACATAACAGTTTTACACAGTACTTCAGGCTTGTCCAAGAGGGTAGCAGCATTATCACATTGATAAAATCCATTGGTGATTCGCAGGATTTTAACCCGAGACCTGAATTTCCAAAGCCCCAAGCTCTAACACTTGGATAGCCTCGGTGAAGTAGAAACAAGAATCCAAGGTTTTAGTTGGTTTGGATTTTAAATCCCAGGCTTAAAAAAGATCCCTTGAAAATAGCCTTATGCATTGATACAAATGTTTCTGAACTGTAAACAGTGTAAACTGTTGAAGATCAATTCTAATGTCCATTGAAATATTGTTTCAATGTATTTTAATTTGGAAGATATGGTATTATTTCATATATTTAATAATACCTAATAACCAATAACACTAATTTATCCCTTCCTACTGTAGAGTGTAACATAATCAAACTTAATTGAAAAGTATTAGTTCTTAAATTCCATGCTATACTTTGGAAGGGGTCCGGTGGACGCCAGGCTAACCTCACCACTACACACACACTCACACACACACACACACACTCACGCGTTAGGGTCTGCCCATTTTACCGGGCTAACTTAGCTAACTAGTACGCTCTAATTTTTTTTAATTGGTTCTGGATGTTTAAGGTTTTGTGATTTTTAAAATCTCCTAATTAAGACCATGGGCGTCGTCAGTATCAAAACTTTGAGGGGGACAAATGTAGGACCTGTCAGGGGCCACCGGGGGGCTTGAAGGCAGGGGGGTCAGGGGAAAATTTTGAATTTTCGAAGCCATTTGGTGGCTTCAAGCCATTTTTGACACCTTAAACTGTGCCCAATTGTCCTTAAACTCCCATTTCACCTATTGTTTGTCATGAGCAAATAGACATTTTAAATATTAAACTATGACGATTGCATTAATGAATTTCAAACACACTGTAGACTACGGCCATATCCTCCTAAAAGCTGTTACAATGAATACAATGAATACAATGAATTTATTTGGCCAATCAACAACAACATTGTTACAGGCTATGTCAATGTACAAGCATAAAATAAAATAAATATCAAGACTTAAAAATCAAACCAAGCAAAAATCGATCAAAACCAACCATGTGAAAAAAAATATGTTCAAGACCATGCACAAAAAGATTCAAGGCAAACAAATGCAGTTCATGCAAAATGCATGCACTATGCAAAAACAGCAAACAGGCTGTTCAGAGGAAAACTTAACTAAATACAGTTTTAAAAAACTCTTTGAATTTGAAAAAAGGATTTTCAATCAGCCAATCAAATATTGCGGTTTGGAAGTTCTTTCTTTCCAGATTTCTCACCGCTGTGTTGGGTGACTTTCTATAGCCAGTTTTAACGTCTAGAACTGTGTGCAAAACCTCCCATTCCCCCATTTATTTGTCATGAATAAGTAGACATTTTTAAAACTAACTATGAGGATTGCATTCATAAATCTCAAAATATATTGTAGGCTACGGCCGTATCCTCATAAAAGCTCTTTACTGACTTTCTAAAGCCATTTTTAATGTCTATATCTGTGTCCAACTGTCCAAAAACCTCCCGTTTCACCTGTTATTTGTCTTTGTCATAAGCAAGTAGACATTAAAAAAATCAAACTATGGCAAACTTGCATTCATGAATTTCAAAACATATGCCTACCTACTGTGTAGACTACGAAGCCATATCTCCTAAAAGCTGTATGGTCACTTTATAAAGCCATTTCTAACGGCTAGAACTGTGCCCAATCGTCCCAAAACCTTCCATTTCACTTGTTATATGCCATGCAAGCAAGTAGATACGCGTTTTTTAACCTTACGTTTTTCTCCATTTCATAGATCTGTCACAATATGTATACTGTACTATTGAATTCAGTAATAACATTGACTATATAAACTTTAACACTAATGTTTATTTAGTCAATGGTAATAGGCTTACTGGTAGTACGCTGATTGCTGATTGATGCCTGTGTAAAGTCAGTGGCTAGCAGACAATTTCACAACTAGCCTAGTATGGAAATCAGCTGTTTCCCCGTCCTCGCTCGCGCGCTCGGCACTCGCCTTTGCCCTAGCATGTCTACAGCTGATTGCTGTAAAAATTGGATGATGCGTACAACTTTCCATAGCGTAATATTGTTTTATTCGTTGTGCTATTGGCCACAAAGTTTATCTATGTGGAACTTAATACTACTCCTGCCATCGCTTACTGTATTAAGTTTAGTAAAAACTACATTGATGATGTTTGTTTTATGGCATTGCGTGTTTTAAGAACGAATTAATGTACGTTTAAATTTGCAAAACTGACTTTTCAAATATTGGGGGGGGACGCGTCCCCCATGTCCCCTATGGCGGCGACGCCCGTGATTAAGACAGTAAAAATTAGTCCAAACACGATACAATTAATTATATTATGTTAAAATGAATAACTGTGAATTTTAAAACTTCAATAACTGTGTACGTTTTATTTTGGACATAATAATTCAATTTGACGTATTACACTAACATTTGTATATATTTTATACAGGGTTAAATAAGTACAGGGGTATTAAGTCTGAAACCTCTTTTTTAATTTTTAAACGACAATAGAAAAAAATACCAATGTTCTCACGTGCTTACTGTTGATAGTAATGCACTAATCTGCCGAATTACTGACTCAAACAATATTCTTAAATAGCAGCATAGGTCGAGTTTGGTATCAAATTAAAGGTTAGTAAAATAAAATGCCACAAACCTGAACACAAATGGACAATGGAGTCAAAAATGCTAGTTTGCTTGTTTATGTCATTATATTTTGATCAAACTTGGCAAATTACTTTATTTTATACTAAGCTATTAATCTTTTACTATAAACGCCTTATTACCCTCCCTGTAGCAGCAAACCTAGTCACTTGTTAAACTTAATGCTATTTAAATAGAGTTAATTGAAACTAGCCGACCCGTGTACAACTTTGCTGAATATATTTTACTCAACTGTAATATAGTGACAGCGTTTTCCTCCTAATAAATCTTTGTAAATATATTGTGTTTGGACTCTATTTCCTGCGAATTTTCATTTACACCCATATTAGTGCATGACACACTTCATTAACAACAAATATTAAAATTTACAATATTTGAGTAGACTGACATTATATGAGTCATGCACCACCGACCGGCGATAGGGCAGGTCCCATTGTAGCCATGCTGGTGAGTGTGCGTGCGTTGGTGAAGGGTCGTCTAATCCTTCAGCGTCCACGAAGTCCCTGCCAAAGTACGGATACTAGAAGCAACTCAAGTTTTTGTGCTTTTCTGTTGCAGGCTTTACTCCACTTCACATTGCTGCGATGGAAGGATACGATGAGATAATTAAACTGTTGGTTGGCACAAACATTTTTGTTGACATCAAGGTAGGCCTATGTTGAAAAATTTTCCTCAAAACAATACCTAAACCTAACATTCTATTTCCATTAAGTTGTTAACAGTTTAAGAATAATATCGTAAAACCTCAAAAGCAAATCTCTCATAAGGATTATCAAGCCAAGACTTTTTTCAAGGTAAACTTCCTATTGTAGTTTGCAATAACCTGTTATTGAGGGTTGTGCAAAACCGAGGGCCTTTTTGAAAATTACACTTGTTAATGAGGGTTTTCAGACTTTTACAGAGTCTTTTGCTGGAAATTACACTGATTTCTATGGTTAGGCTATATACTAACAACTGAAATGTCAACTTGTTTTATTTGCAAATGATGCATCTTTTGTATCATGTAAACTGCCACAGTATAGCAAAATAAGGGAGAAAATAAAACTTTGACAGTATCACACTTTCTGAGAGGCTTATTCAACTGTGCCAATGTTCTGCTAGGATAAAAAAATGTACCTTCAACTGGACCGTATACTGTAGTTGATTATGTCTACACTTCTACTTGAAATTCAGTGATCAAACTCATCATGGTTGAGTCATCTGATATCTCACCTCCACATTCAAGCCAGACTAATGACAATAGTATGTTAAGTTTAGTCTCAACCTGTTTCTTGTCAAGCCTCATTAGCCATGCATGAGTCTAGATTTTTTGACTGTGCAGGTTTTTTGGCTAGACAGTCAGCCCCACAGATATTTTCAGTAAAATTAATTTTTCAAGCAAAATTATATATTGGGAAGCTCTAAAGTGGCTGGTAAAATACATATTAAATTAAAGTAAGAATTCGAAACAAAATTGAATTTGGACCAAAACACTGTGACGCAAGTGCCAAATCTTCATGGCGTTACGCACGAGCATGCCGTTCAACCGGTGTCAAATATATATACTGTTTTGTTCTAAGTATTCTTATATTAATTTTTAATTTTAATGCACTCTAATAATATGTAACTGATTTCACCACAATCTCCATTTAAATACCATTTCAAATAGTTAAATGTTTTCCTCATAGAGTGCATCAGTATCTTCAAACCCCAATGGTTTCAAGACTAGCTCTCTGATTGGTCACTGATATGTATCACATGACCAACTCCTTCCTTCAGTAGAGTAGTGGCACACTCTTGGGCAAGTCCTGTTGCTATGAGGACTTAACATGCCTTTTCTCCTACATTTTCAAATACCATAAACCTCTTTACCAACATAAATATTTACCGCTGGCTTATAACTTATTATAAAGACAATTGAAGTGTTTTTTAACATCATATAGTGTGAAAAAGTGAACTTATCAACATTATAGCATTTCAGGATTCATCAAAGGGGGCCCCCAGTCTACGCATCAGTTTAATAACAAAAGGTTAGTGTCTCCAACTTTAAAATAACTATAATACAGTCCACATTGCTTTCTAATTAACATAAATTCCCCACATTTTTGGTACTTCGAGCCGGACGGATAAACTCAGTGCGTTGGAAATATTTAAAGAATTGTTAAGATTTAATTTCATTGTGAAATACATTTTTTATTTTATCACAAACACATTTTTATAATTTGTGAACATTTATTAAATAAGCCAGTGTTGTTTTATTGATTTTTTAAAATCATAGGACATTGTACTATATATTTTCAAAATCAAACATATTTAAGTTTGATGATTTTTCATATTTCATTTCCAAACATGCACAAAAGTGAAAGTCTAGTTTCATGTCCAATTTTAAATATTCATGATTATATCTCAGCCATTTCATGAGCCTTATCTCTAGCAGACATACCCCCTTCCCCTCTCAGCATTCTGTGTGCATTCCAGGATATTCATTGTGTAGCCAGAAATAATTATCCTTCCTTTCCTTGTTCTGATTATCTACAAATGTTATTGATTCTCATCTATCACGAAAACAGCTGATTGCTTTGTACAGTAATATTGTCGATTGATCATTATTGTATTAAATGATACTTCTGGAACTTCTGGAAAGAAAATTAAAATGTAAATAATTTAGTGTGATTTTATATTGCAAATACTTTGCAAAATAAGTTATTGAAATTTCTAGTGAAGAAATAACTTTAATTTATAAATTCCAAGGTGGAGTTTATACAGACCTTTTGAGTTTTATTGTGTGTTTGACTATTCTATTCCAAAATGAGATTTTTATCTTTTGTCAAGCAAAGTCAACTTATTGAACAAAGACTTAGTAGTATCGACAAGCAAGTTACAACATTAAGTACTGTTCAAGCCCTTGAATCTTTAAATGATCAACAAATAAATAGAATAAAGTTACTTTCAACTGCAGCTTCTCAAAAACATGCAGAATTTGAAAAAATTGTTAATAAGTTGTTCTCTACAACTCCCCTACCTGAAGACATCGTAGATGAAAAGGTAACCGAACTTCAAGATAAAATATCTGACCTGTACATAAATATTAGTAGCTTATGTAGCACATTAATACCTACACCTGCAGTATCTGAGCAATTGAATCAGTCCACCGCTAGTTCAACAGCACAAGCTGTGGCTGTACCTCCGACAATAAAATTGCCTTAATTGGATTTAGGTAAATTCTCTGGTCAACCAGACCAGTGGATGTCGTTTCATAGCATATTTGAAAATGCAGTTCATACTAATGAGTCACTCAGTAACATAGAAAAATTTACATATTTGCTATCCTGTCTCTCAGATGAGCCATTGAGTTTGGTGAAATCTTTGCCTCTTAACGCTGCGAACTATGCTATAGCATGGCAATCTCTGATAGATAGATACCACAATACAAGGTTGCTAATCACTCTTCATACTAACAATATCTTAGATTTACCTCAACTTACTAGGCCTACTGTCAAACAATTGCGGAAATTTCTCTCAGTTTACAATGAAAACTACCAGGCCTTAAAAACTCTTGGTCATGATATTGCTAATGAAAGTTTGCTTTTGACAACGCATATTTTGCGTAAATTTGATTCTGCTCTCCGCACTAAGTTTGAGCACTCACGTAATGACTCAAAAAAGGTCCCTACTATCAATGAATTAATTCTTTTCTTGGAAAATAAATGTACACAAGAGGAGGCTGCGGAGTTAGCTTCTGTTTCGAACAAAACATTTTCACCAAATGAAAATAAGAGCAACCACCCAATCAAATCTAATTTTGCGAATAAGGCTAAAACTAATAGGGCTAATGTTGTATTGTTGTCGTCTAACGACAAAGATCAAATGCTTAAATGTATTTATTGCTCCGCTACTACTCACATAGTATTCAAATGTCCTAAATTTGGGGGCATTAATACTAAAGACAGGTTTGACTTCATTAAGAGTAAAGACTTATGTGTAAACTGTTTTGGTATGCACAAACCTAAAATGTGTAAATCTAAACAGACTTGTCTTACTTGCTCAAAACGACATCATACTCTCCTGCATTTTGACCAGGCTCAAACAAGATTGAATGAAGCAAACACTGATCCCTGTACAAGTAATGTTAAGTCCCCTGATCATCTCAATCAATCGAATACTCTTATGGGTTTGGCTCGTACTCAGAATAATACTGTATTGCTTGCAACCGCTTTAGTGAAAGTTTCTACTCACAAAGGAAATGGTCTCGTTTTGCGTGCTGTTTTGGATAGCGCCTCACAAACCACACTTATTTCAGAAAGTTGTGCAAATATATTAAATGTAAAACGCTCTGCTGTTGGCGTCCCTGATATCAAAGGAATTTCTGTGGCTAACATAAAGCCTAAAGGTTTCACACATCTGAATATCTCTTCCCTCAGTGGGTCAAATTTGGCCACTTCTCATCCTGTTCTTATTCTTGATCAGATTACAAGTAACCTGCCTCGAGTTCAACTCTCACCCTTCATCAAAGCTCAACTGAAAAAATACATGCTAGCCGATCCAACCTTTGACTTGCCAGGTCCCATTGATTTATTGATAGGAGCGGATCTATTCCCTCAAACTTTACTTGAGCCGCCTGTAAGTATGGGAGAAAATTTACCCTTCATTATGAGAACAATTTTTGGCTTTGTTGTGCTTGGTGCCGCACCTATTGCTCCCTCCAATCAACCGCTTCAATTTAGTGGAATATCCACTCTTCTCTCAACTAACGACTTAGATCTTCATGCTACTCTTCAACGATTCTGGTCAATTGAAGAACCGCCTCAAACTTTGAAAATTTCGCCAACTGATGCAGAGTGTGAAAAACATTTCCTAAACTCACACTCACGTGACAATACCGGTAGATATATCTGTCGTTTACCGTTTAAGGAATCCCCTCAGAAATTGGGTCTTTCAGCACCTGTAGCTAAACGTATGTTTAACTCACTTGAAAATAAATTTGCTGCTCAACCAGACTTCAAGATGAAATATGTTGAATTCATGCAAGATTATGAGACTTCTGGTCATATGGAAATTTGTGAATCAATTCCGCCCTCAGACGAACCTCACTTCTTCCTACCTCATCATGGTGTTTTTAAAGGAGACAAGCTAAGAGTGGTTTTTAACAGTTCGGTCCCAACTTCTACTGGAATCTCGCTTAACAGCTTACAACACCAAGGCCCAAAACTGCATAACGATCCCACTGATATAATTTTTCGCTTTCGACAACATAAATATGTCTTCACATGTGACATAAAACAAATGTTTAGGCAGATATTAATTCATGAAGATGATAGAAAATTTCAATTGATTTACTGGAGAGAAGAGCCCTCTCATCCGATCAAAGTGTATCAGTTAACCACGGTTACATACGGCATGAGTTCAAGTCCATATTTAGCCAATCGTGTTATCCAACAGCTAATGGCCGATGAAGGTGATAACCATCCGCTAGCAGCCAAAGCTCTGCAAGATCAAATCTATGTTGATGACGCTTTGTTAGGTTGTGACACTTTAAATGAAGCCCTTGACTTACAGCAAGATGTTATCGATTTACTACTCAAAGGAGGATTTCAGCTACGAAAATGGTCTTCTAATAATGAAAAACTTCTTGAAAATGTTCCGCTGGATCATCGTGAAACTCCCCTCA